TTTTTTTTAGCAAATTAACAATTATTTTGATAAATGTGATAGTTAAGGCTCTTACATTTTTTTATTTGTTTAAATTTAAATTCGATACCTGGTGATTTCGGCCTTGGCAGGCCATAGCCATCTCTATATATATTTAAAGTTTGGAAACTTTAAATTCCGCGCTATTTGCGTCTTTAAATTTTCTGCGTCTGCACTATCTTGGTTTCATAACCAGTTTTATTTTCTTGTGCATTATTCTTTTGTGCTGAATAGCATAATCGGGTAAAGCCCTAATTTATTTTTGATTTGGTGTTGCCATCTTATCAGTTCTTTATAAATCTAAGTGATTGTGGATATAACTCTCATTTCTAGATTTTTCTTTTATATTCAGCACAATCATTATTTGATTAGGTTTTATTACGACTCGTTGTATAGGGCACGCTTGCTTGATCGGACATCTGTTACGACTCAAGCCCACGTCCACCCTATCTGCGTTTAATAATACCTACGGGCTATTGTTAATAAAACCGAAGCAAATTTGTTGTGATCATCAACATTGATTGATTTTTTTTCTTTCGTCTTATTTGACTTTTCTAATTTATCTGATCATAGTCAAATTTTTCATTTGAATTAATTAAATTGTTTCTTCTATTAATAAAAGAATTTTGATTCTTTATTTTGATTTGTTTTGTTTTTTCTTTTTTGTTGTAACCAGTAAGGTACTTAGACCTACTGTATACGACTATTAATTTCATATTTGATTAGCGTTTGTTTATACAAACGCGTTTTTTGATTTGTCTTATTTTATTTATTTTCATCATGGCGGAAGGAGCTGGCAAGCGTCCTACTCAACCTCCAGATCGTCTGGGCATAGATCCTCCTTCATCTCCTGCTCATGAAAAGAATGAGAGAAGTGATAAAAGTAATCAGCAGTTACGGGATACACTTAAAGCCAAGGAAGTGACTGATAAGAAGAGAGAGATTAATTTATCTGAAATGGGTGGAATGTTATCTGAACTTCTCAAGGGAATGAAAGCTAGAGATGAAGATACTAAAAGGATTAATGACGATAATAGAAAGCTATTTACTGAAATTCAAAAGAGCTTAGATATCCAAAAAGATCTTCTTCAGTCTAAATTGTTCGAGAGGGAGAAAGTTTGCGCAGAACGTCATGATAGTCTTGTTGAACAGATTGGTATGTTGGAAGAGAAAGTATCGTCTAACGAAGAGTCTCTTTGTATTTTGGATACCCGCAGTACTTTCTTAGAAGATTTTAAAAAGCAAAGTAGTAGTGCTATGGATCAGCTTCGTTTAGACCATAATGCTCTTCAATCAAAAGTACAACAGTTGAGCGCTGAACTACAAAAAGTGTCAAAAATAACATCTGTACCGACTAACTCAACAGTTGCTCCTACATCTTTTATTACTCCAGCACCTATCACATCGTCTACTCANGGAAATTGGTTAATATGCTTACCTATGTCAAATATTAATTCTACAATTATCAATTTCCATGAATTATATGGTCATGTTGGTCCAAAGAAATGTGTTGGTGTGTTGAAGCAGTTTTGTATATTTAATAATATGGACCGCATTGTTAAGCGATTATTGTCTTCTTGTGATTTGTGTCAACGAGCAAAGCCTCAAACTTGTCGAGTCGAAGGACTTATGAAAAATATTCAATACAATGCTCCAAATGATTGTGTGTTTGTTGATTTGTATGGACCATTGCCTGCTGGTTGGAATGGAGTATCTTATTTGTTTGTGGTAATGGATCACTTTTCTCGGTTTGTTCAGTTATATCCATTAAAAAAAGCTACTGGTGTTGCCACGATCAATCGAATAATTAATAATTATATACCGGACTGGGGTAAACCGAAAATGATAGTATCTGATCATGGTAAACAATTTATTAGTAAAGTTTGGCAGTCTAAGTTGTCGATGCTTGGAATTCCTCCTTTATTGACTAGTGTTTATCACCCACAGTCAAATCCAACCGAACGGGTGATGAGAGAACTAGGACGTTTGTTTCGTACTTATTGACTGTCTTATCAGAATTTGACAATTCACCTTCGTTCCATTCAACTACTGGCAATAATAATAATACACGTGGGTTATCAAATGTTGAAGTCGAACAGAGGCCGGAGAATGTCAACTATCGTCGTCATTTCAACAACAACAACAACAACAATCGTCGGTTTGAAAATAATCGTGGACGTGGTAACAATAGAAGTCGAAACCAAAGTTCACCAGGTCCTTCTCCGGGAAACGGGGAGCCGGGCGTCTAGGTTTTTCGATTNACGGGGAGCCGGGCGTCTAGGTTTTTCGACTCCTAGTCGTTCGCTTCGTCGCACTGTCGAATGTCCTTCAGACTCGAGTGTGAACCTTCTTAATAATAATAATTCTTGTTTTTCTTCACCGGAAATTAATGTTAAAATATTTAATTTAAATTATCGTGCTCTTCTAGATACAGGTGCTACATGTTCTGCTATTTCAGAGAAAGTTTTTCAACAGTTATGTGAAACTGTTGACGATGTAAAATTATTACCTCAATTACCTGTAACTGGAGTTACCATCTCCACGGCTGTCGGTGGTCGTAGCAAGAAAGTTCACACTCAAGTTCTTTTATCTTTATTTATTTCTGATTGCTCCATTGAGGGTATTTTTCTTGTTGTACCGCAGCTATCGGTACCTTTTATTATTGGTGAAGATCTTCTTCACATATACCTTGTCTTGTTAGATTATTCTAGCAATTTGATTAAATTTTCTTTACTAGACATTGAGGTGCCATTTTTTTCTAATTCTAGTGATGATAATGATTNTGTATTATAGCATCATCATAAAAAATGAACCTCAGAGAATCGAGTAAAATATTTTTAATTGGTAACATGTCGAATCAAATTGTTGGCAGCAAGCTACCTTCTATAAGACAAGTTTTAAGTGTACTTTTTTTTAACATACGAAATGTAAAATTAAATGTTCACGATAGTGCAAAATTAGTTGTTCGTGAAATTGTTATATTCTGGGAAAAAGCGCGTATTCCAGTTAGAGAAGAATATAACTTAATTGCAAAAGTTGAATCATTGTATAATGAATGGCGAAACTTACAAAAACATGCCACTAGAAAATTAGTTGCTGATAAAAATAAGAAGAAGAATTTGTAAATAAGTTGGATGATTTTTTTGATATAGCACATGCTAATGCTCTTAATTTAATGAAAATAGAAAGCGACAAAAAGTTTTTAATTGCTCAAAGGACAAAAGGAAGATCTGGTTGTATGCTGGGAATAGATAGAAAACATCAAAAACTTGAAGAACGAATTAAAAAAAGGTCTATAAATTTTGCCGAAAGAAGAAATAGAGCTTATGATAAAATGAAATCTTCAGGTAAATTTTTTATGTATTAATTATAAATATAACAAAAACATCAATTAAAATTCAAATTTATCATAAGTAAGTAATGTGAACTTTTGACAATTATAATAAATCATTGAAACTTAAAGTTTGATAGAGATATTTTATTCTTAGCATGTAGGCACCATGTTTACGAAATAGTTTTGCAAGGCATATTTACTGAAGTAAAATTAGCAACAAGTACAGGACCTGAAATTACCTTGTTTAAAAATTTTAAAAAGAATGGCCAAATATTGATAAAAATTCTTATTTAATTTGGATTACTGATGAACATGTAAAAAATATTTTAATGGGAATTGCTGATGAGATGATACAATTTTGTAAAATTAAACTCGAAGAAGAACTACCTAGAGATGATTATAAAGAATTTCTCGAACTAATAATAATATTTTTAGGTGGTTTGCCACCTAAAGGTATACACTTTAAAACACCAGGTGCTTGTCATATCGCACGTTGGATGGCCAAATCATTGTATTGTTTAAAACTATTTTTATTCCGACACCAGTTTAAAATTACTCAACGCGAAGATAAATGTTTAAAACGAATCTGCTGTTTTATTATAAAGTGTTACGCAGAATCGTGGTTTTTATGTTCAAATGCTCCTACGTCCACAATGAATGATATTGGGTTTTTAAAAAAATTGTATTTTTATAAAAATGACGATAAAGAAGTTGCTGAAAAAGCAATTATGAAATTTATTAATCATTTGTGGTACTTGAGTGAAGAGTGTGCGGCTTTTTCAATTTTTGATGAAAGGTTAAGTAATGATACAAGAAGAAAAATGGCTGAAAAAATTATGCATGGTACTCCTGAAAAAGAATCGCAAAAAAAGTTCATCCTCAAATTTGAAGATTTACAACACTTTCTTAACAAAGAATTACCATTAGATATTCTAGGGAATAATTCGAAAAACATATTTGAAAAATTTTAAATGTCTACTGATTTTTTGAAAGTTCAGTCAGACAAATGGAACGAACATGAAGGATACATTGAAGGAAAAAGAGTGGTAGAATCAATAAAAGTAGTCAACGATATGGCAGAACGAGGGGTCAAACTTATGACGGATTTCAATGAAAAGTTCACGAAAAATGAAGAACAAAATCAATTTGTTTTGCAAGTAATAATCCTTTATTTTAGTTATAGAATATTTATTTTTCATTTAATTATTTATAATTTGATATATTTTCAGGTAGTTCAAGATTATAGAAAAAAGTTTCCTGGATGTAGTAAAGATACCCTGAAAGAATCATATAATTGAAAATTCATTTTTACTATCATAAATACATTATTCATTACTTTTATATTAAAATAGTCGTTTGAATAATAATAATAATTATTATTCAAAAAAATTGATCAGTATTTAATTGAAAAATTTACAAAACATTTTTAAGAGATTTTAATTTTAAACAAAATTAGTCTTGGACTTTTAGTTGTATTATTAATCATATTTAATATATGTAGAAAAAACTAACATTGAGACTAATTATTATATAAAATAATATACTTAAGTGAAATTCTATTTTATAGAAAATAAATTTTCTATGCATTTAGTCCTTTACATTTTTTTTGAATTTATAATAGTTTTTAAGATAATAAAAAAAAATCTGAAAACTACCCCTGGAAAATTTTAAGCTACTTCATTATTTTTCTTGGAAAATAATAGACTTGAGAAAATGTTATAAGAATACTTTTTATTGGAAATGTTAATAGCTACATTTTAAATTCTATTCATTTTTACGATTAGTGCAACACTTTTCTATCAATAAGCAAAAATAACTCAGAAAACGACTTGTTATCAATTTTCACCCCCTTGGGGGCACCTGAAGGGGTTGATTAATCATGGCCAAATTTTACTCAAATTACTTTTTTATAATAATGAACCAATTAGGGGGGTGAGAAATCAAAATTTTGAAAGTTCGAAAATAAGGACCACCCTAATATATATATATATAACCCAGCCTCGTATTATACTAAAATCGACGTTATTAAGCTATTTACTACAATATATAATCAAATTCGATTTAGTTAAAAATTTTTTTATTTTATTCAATTATCAGTGAGCTATGATTCATTAATGTTTAGGGGACGTGACTATACATAAGTTTTTTCCGTTTCAGTACAATACACCAGTAGTTTCTATCGAAACATTAAATATTCTTTTTCCATTTTCTTTTAAATCTATATATGTGTAATGATAAAAATGTTACTAAAAAAATAAAAAAAACGATTGACATTTGAAGATAGAAACAAATATTTACGATGTGTAAAATTATGAGCAAAATCAACTTTACCAAAGATTATGAATTATTCTATTAAAAATTGTTATTAAATATAAATATATTTTTAAAGCTTTGAAATTTTATAAAAAATAATAAATAATATTTATAATTTAATATTATTAAGTTGGCTATACGGGGAATATTACGTTAATAAAGATCGTCTCTATGGTAAAAAAAACATATCTTTAGCAACATACAATATATAATTTTTTTTTAGTTATATAATTATTTTCTATATATTTTTAAAAGAGCAGTGTAGTGAATTTTGTTTTACAAATGTTTTTTCAAACTTTCCTTTAAAAATGAAACGACTAAAGAACATTATAAAAGTGATAGTAGATTGATGACACTAGTATTACAATATTGTCTTTGCTATCAAACATAATCCATTTTCTTTTAATTATATATTTGTGTAATGATAAAAATGTTACTAAAAAAGAAAGAAAAAGCGATAGACATTTGATGATAGAAACCAATATTTACAATATTGTATTTGTTATCACATTACAATGATTTTTAAAGTATAATTACTGGCTAATCGTTAATGTTATAATAGTAAAGTATTCTTGATTATTCAAAAATACAATTACCATGGAAACAAATAACTTTTAATAGAATTCGACATTTTCTTAGTAAATTGAAGTTATTTAATACTTTTTAATAAAAATAATTTTCTTTCTTCTCGTGTATAAGGATTAATTAATTATATTAGCAAGTATTCAATGTTTCATGAAATGTACATTAAATTATATACAGTGATGCCATTAGTTTTAATATAATCCAATACAATTTTCAATAGTTATTAAATGCAGTACGATAAAGATTGTTTGCTGTTGAACATTCAGACTTAATCCAGTCGTAAGTACATTTATTAAAATATTATTTAAAAAAATCTAAAATTTCAATAAATTACCAACAATATAGATATTATTCAAGGTATATTTACTTTATAATAATTAAACATTATTCAGAAAAAAATGTAGTCATTAAAGAAATATAACACTTTATTTATGTAAAATTACTTTAGTTAAATTTGTTATTATTAAAAAAAAAATATTTGGAAAATTATATATACATATATATTCAACGTGGTTCAATTAATTTTTTCATTTTAGTAATATTTGAATAAAGAAGTTTGGACATTAATTTTTTTTTTCCAAAAATATTTTATAAAATTGATAAATTATCTCTCAGATTTAACGTTAGCCCTTCTATTTCTCATGGAAAAATTATTGACTAAACTTTTAGCTTTTATTATATACATATATTTCTTTAATTATCTATAGCTATAATTTTTTTCTATAAACTTTTAATAATAAAAAATTTGGTTTTTATACTATAATAAACCTTTTAACAATACTTAATTTAATTCAATTGTAATTTAGAAAAGTTGTAAGAAATATTAGATCAAAATTAAGGCTGGAATGATGCTTATTATTAAATTTGGCTTATATAATTAACCAAGATGTATTTTTATTATTCTATATTTGTTGTACTCTAGAATTATTAGCCATGTAATAATTTTTAAGTCCATCCCTTATGCCTTTGTTACGTCGCTATTTAGGGGTTTAGCCTAAATGCCCGTCGACAGTATTCTAATGGACCAACGGGGGATAGNCAGTATTCTAAGGGACCAACGGGGGATAGCTGGCTAGGCTATATCTACCTTAGGTACTGAAGTTTCCTATTTAATTTATATTCCCTTAGAGGAACTACCAAGGGTCGCACTACAATATATATATATAACACTTTAGGTTAACAACGATATAAATAAATATTTATTAAGAAATTGAAATATTAAATGGATAATACAACCTGCTGGACACTTAGAGATGTTATAATCCAACAGGGAGCTGATGGCGATACACACACACACTATAATATACGGGGTAGCGAAGTTAAGTTAATTATCAGGCAAAAGTAGTGATCGCGAAGATGGTAAAATGTCAACTGTCGATAGGGATATCTTAATATGGCACATTGGCCGTGAATTGCAAAAAGTGTTTATGTGTGCAGTCCGCCCTCCTGTTAGTATTGTTGTATGTCACTGTGTTAATTATATATATATATATATATATCTATTAAACGGTACAACGATGTTATGGGAGACAGAGATATGGGCACATGCAAATGTGATCGTATCAGCTGCTCCCCCTACACTTAAGGTCTGACCCTAGACCTTATAACAAAATAACTTTGGCAAAATGGTGCTATGTAGGAAAAGAAAAAATTTTTTAAAATAAAAAAAAATTTGGAGGGACATTAGTGTCGTAATAAGAACCTCTGGGTTTTTGATGTCCACACTCCTTAATTCACAAGCTTTTGAGCATTGGAGGAGCTTCCTTCGTGTGGGCTCTCAATAGTCGGCTACCAAGCGGTTCCTATGAAAAGCCCGGCCCTGTCGTCGACTTCTTGAATAGTCTCGGGGCCCCAAAGAGTATTCTCCGTGTTCTCGAGGTCTGTTCAGAACACTAACGCTTATTATTTAAAAAAAATTTAATAATTAAAAGGGGATGTTGGGGTACCGAATACAATAATAAGCAATGCATGCACAATAAATGATAAATGTTCATGAATTAAAAAAAAATAATTTAATGTGATTTATGACAATAAAAAAAAAGTTAACCTAATGTATGTAGCCAAAACGTTGTCAAAAACTTGCATACATTTACAATAGGTGTCTTAAATTAAGTTAAGCATGCTCGATAATAGTACTAATGTATACAGTAAAATATATGCGAAACATACACAGTGACCATCTCATAAAATTCAGTGTCCATTTATTATATATATAAAAAAAAAAGAAATACACACAATAGGGTATTTTGATTTAGGCTGACTTGCGCCTTAGTTGCGGGACGATTATATTATATAAATTATCCTATCATAAGGGTAGCCGTAATAACGGCTGTTTAAAAGACCACGATTTTGCTGCTGTAACAACTTAGTTAACTTGTATATGTTAAATGTGTATGTCGAATTAATTTTATAAAGAAATAATTTATTTAAAAATATTAGCTGGCTCGCTCTATTAGTACCAATTGTAATTATAAGTAATGGCTATTCAATAAGGTCATAATATGTTAACAAAAGGATTTATTGTTGTAAACATATGAATAGAGTCCGTTATTCAAATTTGTCACGTAAGATTATAACTAAGATTATAGGGGATTATGTGGGGATGTGGCGACCGTTGACTGTATAGTGTTGTTCATTTTATGTTTGACCTATTTGGACTGAAGATGCCTGGAATGTTATATTGGAAATCATGTTTGGTAAGTACCACAATAAAATAATTTTTTAAATTTAATAATACTAACCAATGGTTTTATTTGCCACAAATATTCTTTCAAATCTAATTTTATAAAATTCGACACTATTTATCTTTCAAAATAGATTATTTAGAAGTAAATTTTCTTAAACCTCGTGTATCGTGCATTTTATATCACCTTATAGTATCGAATAAAAGTAATTTCATAATATATAATAAATAAAGGGAAGTCGGGCTAAGCCGATCGAAATAATAAATGTTATGTTATAACATTGTTTGTAAATTAGAATAAAATTATGCCATTATAAAAATATGTCGATCTAGTCGAACGGAATAATAATAATAAGCCATAAGTATCAAAGAAAATAGTTAATTAAAATTAACATTATAAGTAAGCCATAATTTTCAAATAAAATAATTCAAATATGCCATAACGTAATGTAACGGACTGGCCGAAAATAATAATAAAATATATATATGCCACACATTAAATTAATCAACGGACTTGCCGAGAATAATAATAAAATATATGCCAAAATCAAATTATCGGATTTACTGAAAATAATAGTAATATAAATATGCCACAAAATCGGTTATACCGAATAAAATAATATATAATAATGTTCTAATAAACTGAGTCGGACTTTGCCGAATTTAAGTAAAAATATGCCACAATATAATAAATAAATCGGACTTGCCGAATATAAATAAACATATGCCAC